ATTGCACATAATATACAGCTTGATGAATTTTCACGAAATAAACACACCCTGTAACCAGCATTAAGATAAACAACAGCCACTATCCTGACTTCTAAAAATCCTGGGGCATTTACAGAGCCAGGCGCATTCTCTGAGGCACTGCCCACCTGAGCAGGGAGGATCTTCAAAATCTCCCTGAGATGCCCTAAGTTAAAGGAGCTGGACAAATTCCAGACGGGTTGGGTTTACACAGCTGCAATGAACCATCAAGAAGGGCCACACTGGGCGTTCATGGTGGTCCAAGCTTGGGCAGTCCAAAGCTGGACTTGGGCAGGACCAATGTTGGCTCAGAGAGACTGACCACTTGTCCTGGGTTGCACAGCTAGAAAGTGGCTGAGCTGGGGTGAGAGCTTAGGTTTTCTGCCTCCTGTGCCAACGTCCTCCCCACTACAGGAAAATAAAAGCTATTACACATCTTCAAGCCATCCTGCCCTTGTGGGCCGTGGTTGTGTCCCTACCTTGTATGCTCCTATATGGCCGTGACCTGCTGGGTCTCTTCTGGGGAGCCCCACCTTCTCCAAGGCCCCCTCCAGGGAGAAGCTGCAGTCCAGGAGGAAGACCACGTCCTTCAGCTGCTCCGAGTACTCCTCCAGCGAGGCCAGGCTGCCCGTGCAGGCACCGAACTCGTATTTCCGGAACTAGGGACAGCCCATTCTGGGACACAAGAGAAAGCTCACAGGCCCCTAGACCCTCACTATGGCCCTGATAGTGCACTTGTTAGAAGGACTAGGTAGAGAGGAGAGGATGTCTAGTGCTGAAATTTCCAGTCTTGGCCCCCAGGTAGGATGCCGTTTTCAGCAAGGGGCCCTGCTGGCATCCTTCCAACAGTACCAGATCAGAAACTCTTACTATCAGGTCGGCATGTGTACAATGCAGCCCCTGCCTCACACCCATCGTATTTCCTACAACTGCAACCCCAAAACAGCCAAACCAACAACAAAAAAATAATGGTGCCCTCTCTGCCATGGAGGTGGGGCCAGCAAAAAGGACGGAGGACACAAATCTTGGGGAACCTCTCGGTGCTAGCAGCGGGTGAGGCCTTTCTCTTTCCATAGAGAAACTCTTCTGTAGCATCGAAAGACTTCTTTGGTTGAAGCCTATTCTTCATTCACTCCAAAACCATTCACTGAGCCGTTCCTCCATGCCAGGCACACGCTAGGTGATGGGGCTATAGTGATGGAGAAGACACCGTCCCAACCTTTAAGGACCTTGTAATCTAACGGTGGTAGGTGAGACTGCATTGAGAACCGACACAGTCTAGGTAGATTGACACAGAGAAGGGAGAAATCCATTCTCTCCCACAGAGGAGGAAGTGCTGGGTCTTGAGGCATGAATAGGAGTTCGCTGGTTGGACAAGGAGAAAAGCACGTCTAGGCAGAGGAAACAGTGTGAACAGCGTGACGGCATCAAGCACTGTGGCCCAGTGGGGGACCTGCTCTAGGCGTCTCCAGGCCGGCAGCATAGGAGGTGCCAGGGAAAATGTAAAGGAGCAAACTTGGGCCCAGGAGGGTCTCCGAAGGACACTGTCATCCCTGGAGTCCACAAAATGATAATGAAAGAACATTCCTGGGAGCTCTCTGTCTGGGGAGAGGGGTGAGGACGACTGGAGTGTCCAGAGTCAGGGGAGAAAGTGAGCTGGGCCAGGTCACCACGGGTCTTGGGAGCAGACTACGGTGCGAGCCACAGGAAGACCCCGAGGAGTTTGCAATAGGAGCGTCACGGGATCAGATGTAGACACAGAAAAAGCCCCTCTGGTGGGAGAGTAGAAGATGGGGGGGCAGGGCAGGAGAGGGTGAGAGTAGGGCCAGGGGACCAGATAAGATGTCTAACGGTCTAAGTAAGGGATGATGCGAGCCTGCGCCGTGGTGGGAAACGTGACTCACTGGAGAGGTGTCACAGAGCAGCATCGGTGGTGCCATTTATTCAATAGGTTGTAGTTTAAAGGTCTGGGAGCAAAACGCCACGACCTGTCTATCTCTGAGTGTTGGTAACTCAAGTATTTTTATTTTCATCTTAATACTGTGCCAGCAGGTTTCTGGCTTGGGTGACAAGGTGGACAGATGGCAGAGCCAGTGGGATTTCTCCAGGCCTGGACTTTCTCTGTGATTCCAGAGATTTTACCTGGGGCAAGGGCAAGGGGACAGGGGAAGGACTGGGAACGGTGGGAAGGACAGGCTCGTTCCTGAGCAGGGGCCATGAGTGAGGCTCTGTGCCAGGCGTCCCCAAGGCTGGACAGAGACACCTGGCTGCAGCATCTGGCCGCTCCCAAGTTTTAACTCACAATCGCCCAGGCTTTTACCTGGAGTCTGGGACAGTGCCTGGGGCAGGCAGCATCCACTTTTCTGGCTGACTTCGGCCCAGCAGGGGCAGAGGACCAAGGTTGGCCTGGCAGAACCTTTCAAAGGCTGCAGCAAGGGAGTTGGGCAGGACCACCACGCTGGCTGGCCGGGGCCCTGGTGGGAGAAGGGACAAATATGCAGTCAGTTGGTTCTTGACAGACCTTTTTAAATATAACTCTTTTTCAAGTGACAGGGTCTCACTATGTTGCCCAGGCTGGCCTCCAACTCCTGGAGTCAAGCTATCCTCCCTCGTCAGCCTCCCAAGTAGCTGGGACTACAGGTGCACACCACTGCACCGGACTTCTAATTTAACTGTTCATCAAAGCACTTGCACACACCCAGAAAATTGCACATAATATACAGCTTGATGAATTTTCACGAAATAAACACACCCTGTAACCAGCATTAAGATAAACAACAGCCACTATCCTGACTTCTAACATCACATATTACATTTGCCTGTTCTTAGACCTCATATAATGCAACCATGCCCTATGTGTATTTTAAGTCTGGCTTCTTTCACTGAAAAATACATTTGGGAGACTCATCCATATCGTTATGTTTAGCAATAGTCGGTTCGTTCTCATGCTGTGTGGTATATTCATGCAACGAGTGTTACCCAATCCTAACGCTGACGGACATCGGAGTGGTTCCCGATTTGAGGTTATTACAAGGGGTGCTGCACGAACATTGTAATGCACGCACTTTGGGGTACATACATGTGCATTTCTGTTTGGCATATGCCTGGGGTTGTAGGGTACATACATGTTCAGCTTTAATAGATGCTGCCAAGCAGTTTTCCAAAGTGGCTGTACCAATTTCTGCTCCCACCAGTAGAGTGTGAGCGTCTCCAGTACTTGGTATTGCCCATCCTTTTCATTTTAGCCATCTGGCTGGTGTACAGTGGTGTCACATTGTGGTTTTAATTTGCATTGTCCTGATGACAAATGTGGTTGAGTACATTTCATATGTATTACTGGCCATTTGGGTATCCTTTCTGGGAAAGAGACTGTTCACATCTTTTGTCTGGGCAGTTTCCTGGCTGAGCAGACTCATGGTCTTAACAGAGCTATAGGGGGAGACCTCCACTTGCACGCCACGACCTCCTCTGGGGGCAGCCAGCCACCCTCTGCACTGGGAAGTCCTTTGGCTTCGGAGGTAACAAACCTGGGCTGGAATCCTGATTCTGCCTCTGACCAGCTGTGTGACCCTGCGTACTGTCCTTGCATCTATCAGCCTCAGTTTTCCCATCTGTAAGGTGGTGGTCATCATACCTACCCCAAAGAGACCTCGGTGAGTTAATATGTATCAGTTATTCAGCACATTGGTGCTCGGGAAGTAGGGCTTGGAGTTACTATACATTTATGCAACGAAACCCTGTATTGACACTTAAAATGATAGTACAGAAGAAATATTTAACTCCTGGCCTCAAGCTAGCCTCCCATCTCGGCCTCCCAAAGTGCTGGGATTACAAGCATGAGTGACCACAACCCGCCCTTGATGGCTATATTAAAAGATGTTTGTGACCTACCATTAAAGGAATGATACTAGGTAACAGCAGTGTGTTTGACATTTTCTCCTTTTTATAAAATCAACAAGAGAAAAAATGAGAAGGAAATACATCCACATGTATTAATCATGGTTGTCTCCAGGTGACAAGACTGGGTGACTTTAATTTTCTTCTCTGTGCTTTTCTCAATATTCTGAAATTAAGACCATTTCAAAGAAAAACATAATTATGCTCTCTTACAAAAATAACCCTGGGGACAATTCTCCTAACTGCCAGATTCGTTCTTTCAACATCTAGGCCTTTCTTTTCTGCAATAATGTTGTTAGTTAATATTTATGGAGTGTTTGTTACACGCCAGGCTCTCTGTACTAAGTAACTTGCATGTGTAATCATCTATATTTTATAGATGAGGAACATTAGGCTCAGAGAGATGAAGTGACTTTCCCAGGGTTACACAGCTGGTGCGTGGCACAGCCAGGATTTAAACCTGGGGCAGGTGACCCCCAGGTTCCTCTCACTTCATCACTGAACCACATCCATTGGGCGTCCCTAGGATGGGTGCACCGTCTCCTAAGCACCTTCCTCCTCCGGGATCGTGGAGCGAAGCAGATGCAGCCATCTGCTGCGAAAAGTCCAGCTCCTACTCCAAGTGGCAGGCAGTGCCTGAGACTCATTATCTCCAACGCGACAGCGCCTGCCAACGCTACAATCAGATTCCCCAAATGAGGGCATGCTGGACCTGTCCCTCACCCCCAGCCACCCACCCAGCTGCTGAAAGCCCAGGGAAGCTGCCGCAGGTCTCGAGCAAGCCCAGCGTGGCTCCAAAAAGGACCTGGAGCAAAGAGGAGGGGGACACGGCTGGCGTGGAGGCCTCCCCTTCCCCACCCACCCACTTCTTACCTCCAAAGCCTGTTTGTGAGAACAAATTGGATTTTTAATACAATAAACCAGGGTGGTATTACGCATACAAAGCTTCTTTGTTTTCTTTTTAATTAAATGTACTTCGCAGGGCACTATGATTTGGTTTTGTTCATCTCCGCTGCTAGAGATGAATAGAAAAGTCCCCGAGTTGTCCCCATTAGCAACAGGACACAGAATACAAGCCTCCATGGTCCCTTGTTGGGAGAGCAGCGGACCACAGAGGCCTGACTTTTTTGGTGACGGCACGTCAAGGTCTGATGTGATCTGTGCATCCCTTGTGTCCCCTGGGCTCCACCTAAGGTGACGACACTTCTCTTTGTAGAGAGAAATTGAATGATTCTTCTGGGCCCTTTTACCCCCAAATTAATTTTTTTAAACATAACGACAAGAGGAAAAAACTGCCCTTTATCATTCCCGATCTGATTTAAAGCCCCAGAAGACAGTTCCAAGCTGCAGTTTCCAGCTGTTTGGGAAAATGAGCTTCCCTCCTTGCAGAGCCTTCCACAGCAGCAGGTCGCGTGGATTGAGCACCCGCCCTCGGTTAGCCCAGGTTCCCTCCTGACAGTTCCAGAGGGAAGATTCCGCTGCTACTTTCATTTCACAGACGAGGCTTGCAGAGGTCACAGTTTACACACAGCTCCGTGGCCAGTAAGGAGCAGAGCTGGGATCGACGCCCTGGCTGTCTGACTCCAGGCTCCCTGGCTGCTCCGTTCTGCTGCCTCCCTGAGGTCCTAGCAAGCAGTCGCCAACCAGGGGCTAAGCTTGTGCTTGCTGACTGTGTATGACAGGTTGTGACAGACTATTACCTTGGTGGTGCTCTCTCTCTCTATGCATACACACACACGCACACACACACACACACACACACACACACGCACATATAAACTATGCGTCCCAGTATTCACACCCTATTGTAGCCCCTTCCCCACTGACTCTGGCCTTGGCCATGTGATTTGCTTTGGCCACTGGGACATTAGTAAGTGAAGCAAGCAGAGGTTTGACATGTGCTTGTGCCTTAGGACTTATCCTCTTGAAACACTTTCTCTTGGAGTCCTGAGCTACCATGTAAAGAAACTGGGCTACCACTGTTGGAGAGGCTTCACAGAGACAAAGAGATGCTCGGCCAGTCTCAGCTGTCGCAGCCACCCCAGTGGACACCAGACATGTGAGGAAGAAGCCATCTTGGATAGTCTAGCCCAGCAGATACCATGTGGAACAGAAGAACCACCCCTCTGAGCCCAGCCTCCATTGCAGAATTGTGAGAACTGTGATTTTAAGCCTGCGTAACAATAGATAACTCTGTTAGCCTATAAATAGCAACAGAGCCCATACACATCAATAAACTGAAGGAAAACTGTATTGCTCCAGTACTTTAAACAAGTGTTGCTAGTTTTTCCTTTTGGTATTTCTACCACAACCAGAAAAATATTTTTTTAAGGTGAGATTTTGCCATGAGTTAGGTCAATAACACATTTGATAACTGTTTTCTCTTGCAGGACCCTTTAGAGCCTTGTGTGTCACTCCCGGGAGACGGTGGGGAGATGGGTGCTACCCAGAGAATAAGACCAGCCAAGGAAGGGAGAATCGGCCTGTATCAAAATCAGATCAAACTGCAGTGTAACCTGGCAGTGCTTTTCCCAGGAGGGAAAAGCTGAGGTGACCAAGCAGAACTGGGGGTGCTATACGCATCTGCTGAGATTTCCACACACGAGTCTGGTCCAAGGTGCCAGTTCATTCTGGACAGTGAAATAGTGACTGGAGCTGATATCATTCTGCTTTTGCTTTCTATTTTTCATGCCGAAGCGAGAAGTCTCAGGAATTTCTGGGCCTACACAGCTGGTATTTCCAGGAATTTTTTTTTTTAAACATCTAGCACCACTGACCTCCTGCCATGCTGGATGTGTTTCTGATGCTTAATTTCTTTTGTAGAATCACACACCTTCTGGCAGAGGGAAGACAGGACCTCAGGTGGAGTGTGAAGGGCATCATGCCGCCCTTGAAGGGGCTGCAGAGAATCTGGATGAGGGAAGAGGGGAACAAAGTATTAACAGAAAGCACGGCCTCCCCACAGGCAGCAGACTGGACATCACCTACCACTTCCTGGGCTGCTCCTGGGCCTCCCTCTGGCTGGTGCTGTTGGGAGCAAGTTCCCCCCCATCCCCTGCTGGCAAGGTTTCTAATGTGAAATTCCAAACACTTTGTGACCTTTGCTTCTGCTGTCCCCTGGCTTGGAATGTCCTCCTCCCCTCCTGAAAGGCCTTTCCATTCCTCAGAATCCTGTCGGAATCTTCTGTCTGTGAAGCACCCTACAGGCTCATACTTCACGGGCTTCTTCTGGAGCCCCGGTGGCCTCATATTCTACCTGACTCTAGCTCCTCCCTCTCGCCAGTGCCTCGAAGGCAGGGACACACCTTCGACTTCTTCCACAGGCTCCGGAGCACCTAAGAGCATAGTACGTACTGAAAATACTTATGATCGAATGAACAAAGAAATGAATACCACTTGCAATCGCAGATGAAATAGCAGCCCGATTTGCTGTCTGCATGTGACTTCTGTTATTGATATCTAGATTTAGGTCCCGGAAGGTAGAGATTTTGTATTTTCTTCTTCATGCTCCCTCCACCCCACTCTAGGCATGGTGCCTTTTACAGGTTTTGGTGAATGAATAGATATTGCAGATTAAGCAACTAGGATTTTTTTTCAGTTGATTGATCTAGCTGTCTATTTTTGAGACAGGGTCTCACTATGTTGCCCAGGCCGGTCTTGAACTCTGGGCTCAAGCGATCCTCCTGCCTCGGCCTTCTGAGTTGCTGACCTACAGGTGCATTCCACTGTGCCTAGCTGAATGTCATTTTTTTTTTAAAATAACAATTAAAAACTTAATGACATTATTTTAAAACATAGAGATGGTCTCAAAGTTCTAGGAAATTATACTCAGAAATGAGTCCTATAGGTTGACTTCCTATACTCTAGAGAGGTTTTAGTATGTCAGCAAAATCTAGGGCTACATAGCCACATTGTGTTGGCCTCTATGGCATAGCCCAGGTCCTATTTATCCAAATATACCCAGTGCCTACTGTAGTGCCACAAAAGTGGGAATTCAGTGTTTGTTGAATGACTAGCTGACTGTAGGATGGATGAGAACATGATTTAAGGGCAATGTCCATAGCGAGGGTTCTGGACAGGCCTGATTTTCCACAACTCTTTCTACCTAAAGACAAGACCAAAATGGGATTCTAAACCATCAATTTACATTTTCAACTCTAATCTCATAGACAGAAAACCATGCAAACCCCAGGGCCATTTTAATGAAGAATTTGAGATTGGATAAAATCTTCAACAAACCAAATAAAAAGAATATATTGTCTTGGAAGGGGGAGAGATATATTTAGAGCCAACAGCGAATGCTTTCATAGCTGCAGGAACAAAGCATCACAGGGACACAGAGGAGAGAACAGTTAGTCCTGCTGGGCTGGGCTGGGGTGCTGGGAGGGGTCAGGTGGGGTTGGATTCCATACTCCAGTGGAAGAGTCTGAGGCTTAAAGCAGCTGTTTGGCAAGTCAAGCCCATGCTTGCCTGCTGGACTGAGAGAGCCCTCTTGGGCCTAGGAGGCCTGACCCCCTTGGCCAAGCAGCTGAGCTACCAGCTAAGGTCCTGGGTGTCTGTGGTTCCCCAGAGTCACTACAGAGGACTTAGCGCCTCTGCCCGGCATGTGGGGAACAGCGGCCAGACACCTCTGATAAATGTCCCCATTTCATATCTGGAGAGAAGAGTTTACCCAAACCCACGGAAATGAGACACCCCAGGGTACCTGTAGCCCTCACCCCCACCCATTATTACTCTAGAAGGCAATGGGCGCAAGCTGGATGCTGTTTTGCAAATAAGTTGTAGCCATTAAGACCAAAGTCTGAGAGATATTTGCCTTTCCTTTCCTTTATTTATTTATTTCTTGCTTTAATATAAATATAAGTGGATTCTAGGTTGCTTTCCTGGCCTGGAGATAAATGAGTGTAGCCAGAAATCCTGCCCTGCAAAGCATGCTGGGAGTGTGCCAGGCACCTGAATGTCACCCACCATGCATGCCGGGAGGGAAAGAAGGCTGAGGACCCCTACCTTACGCAGTCGTCCCCTTTGAAGGCAAGGGTCAAACAGAGCGTGAATTGGCTCCTGTCAAAAAAAATGCCTTCAATATACCAAGAAGAGAATACCCACTCATCATAAGTGGTAGCAACTACCACCGTATGTGGGTACCCACTGTGTACCCGTTACCACGCAAAGGCCTCTATGTACATCATCTGTTGTTTCCCCATTACAGCCCCACAAAAAGGCATTGTTAATCCCATTATAAACAAGGAAACTGAGGCTTGAGGCAGTCAAAGAAGTTACCTAATAAAGCAGGTCTAAGTTCATGCTTGCTTGATGGGTAACTACCTATCTGTGTCTTTGAATCTAGGTATGTATCCATCCACTCGCCCACTCACCCATCTCGTGGTGTTAGGAGTCACATCCTCAGCATATTTTAGGACTGGCAGGGACCTTGCCCCTACCCTCCACAAAGTGATTCTAGGGCCAGGGCATCCTCAGCCCGTATGTTTCTTTGGGGACTGAATCCTGGACTTCTCACACTTTCCACCCAGGTCTCTGGTGAACCCACTGCTGAGTGACCCAGGCGTCTCATTCCCCAGCATGGTCGTCCTCCGGAAATGAGTGAGATGGCAGCGATCAGTTAGGCTTGGCTGGACTCCAAAAAGCTACCTTTCTGCTGTGAGCTCTCTCTTTTCTCTTTAGAGAAGAACAAACCAGTAAACTCACCAATATCATTCTCTAACGTCAAATACGCTAGAGAGGGGCCCCACAGACTCGACTCCTCGGCAGGATCTGACACACCCAAAATTTCAGCGTCAAAACATCTCATCTATGCCTATCACAGATGACCGAAATTCCACCATTATAAAGTCATTTCTCTGCTTTACCCGGGCAATCCAATTCTAGGACTGTATCCTACAGATGTGCTCAAACAGTGGGCGAAATGGCTGAGTACATGGCAGCACTGTTTGTGACAGAAGTAATTTAGAAACAACCTAACAGGAGTTGATTAAATACACTGAGCACTGGTTAAATATTATAGAAGAGCAGCTAAATAAACTACAGTACATCTATGCCATACAACGGGATGCTACGTAACTAACAGAAGGAGGCTGCTCTGTATACCTCATCTTAAATAGTCTCCGACGACACCAACTGAACAAGGCAAGGCGGAGAACCCTGACTAGGAGAACACACCCATGTTCTGCTCAAATCCGTAAGGACATCTCCGGAAGGATGGAGAAGGGCTTGGTCCCTTGGTCCCAGGGGCACCTGCAGAGGAGAAAGTGGGGCTGCGCTGTATCGTGAGTGGACGGTGCCCTCTGGAACTGTGCCACGGGGTGGCCCTGGTGGAACAGAGACTTTCTGCTCTTCGTCCTTTCTGCACCCTTTGAATAGTACGACACGTAAGTATTATCTAATAAAAACGGAATTTAATTTTAAAATGTGTAAGGAAGGTAAAATTGGGCCCTGTTTAAAGAAACAAAACATTACCGTAAAACAGTCATTCATTCTAGTTCTGAGGATTTTGGTCGCTCACGAGTTTTTTTCTTTCGTAGGAGAAGTATTTACTCAGTCCCAGCGGTGTGGCGCTCACTGGGTGTGCAGAGGGGAGCGAACCAGAGCTCGTCCCCCTAAGGATCCAGGCCCCCTGCCGCTCCCTCAGGCCGCAGCTCTGAGCTCACCCCACTTGCTTCTCAGGGAGGACACAGACGGGCCCTCCCCACCTTCGTGCTAACTGTGGGGTGCTGAGGGCACTGGGGAAGGAGAGAGGAGGTGGCCTTAGTGTGTGCTCTGAAATGGAGTGGGATGGGGGCTTGGACGGTGTTTGGAGCCCAGTCTACACACCCACCAACCACACAACTGGCTAATGTCCACACACAATCCACCCACCCATTCACCCACCCCTTCAGCAGGCATTGGGGTGAGGAGCAGATCGGAAAAGACTGGATTCCAAACCTGGCTCTACACTTAGAAAGGGATCATTAACCCCTCTACGCCTATTTTCTCATCTGTAAAATGGGACTAATAATAGTATGTACTTCCGAGCATGTAGGGGAAAAGCCAAACTCAGTTTCTCCTATACTCTCGCTGAATCACACAGAAGGCTTCTGTGACCTCTGGTCACCAAAAAGGATGTGGGGACTTTGCCCCACCAGCAACCTAATCAACCAGTTCTGCAGTGACACCAGCGGGGTGTCCTCCAATTCAGTTCTGACCCGACCTACCTGGAGATAGAGTCAGCTCCTACAGGGTTGGGGCTCAGTCCCACCAGACGGCGCCGCCCCCCACCCGTGATGCCAGTCGCAAGCCCCAGGCTCTGGCCTGCGTTTCACACAGACCAGCCGTAAATCAGGGCTCCCACGACCTCCTCCCCAGGTTTTATTAATTTGCTAGAGTGGCTCACAGAACCCAGGGAAACACGTTTACCAGTTTATTATAAAGGATATTCCAAAGGACACAGATGAAGAGATTTGCAGGGTGAGGTATGGGGGGGGCAGGGACATCAGCACAGGTGTGCCAGCCACGCTCTCCCCAGGTGTGCCACCCTCCAGGAACCTGTTCAGCTCTCCAGAGCTCGCCAAACACAGTCCTTTTGGGGTTTCAAGGAGGCTTCCTCCAGTAGGTGTGATTGATTAGATCATCGGCCACAGGTGATCAACTAAGTCTTCGGCCCCTCCCCCAGAGGTGGGGGGTGCTGAAGGTCCCAATCTTTTAATCCTGCCTTGGTCTTTCTGATGACCAGCCCCCATCCTGAAGCTAGCTGAGGGCTGCCAGCACCTGTCATCTCATTAGCATACAAAAAGACATGTATCGCTTTGGAGATTCCAAAGAGTTTAGCAGTTATATGCCGGAAAACCTGCCCGAAGACTAAATGCATATCTCACAATATCTCAGTACCACGGGTTAAGTTAGTGAGCACACATAAC